ATCTTCCTGCCCAGTCGAGAAGACCAGGTCCAGAGTGTGCCCTCTTTCGTGCGCTAGGCCAGAGACTGCCCCATGGGTGTCATGGCGGCCATGAAGTCCTGAGCTGCTCCAGAGGGAATAGTCTCAGCATGGAACGAACATCCAGGAGGTCTCCAACACCAAGCCCATCTCTGTCAGCTCAGGCAGGGAGTCTTCTGGGCAGAAGGCGCGAGGGGGACCAGCAGAATCCCGTCTGTCTCGATCACCCAACACCAGGTATAAGCACTCGAGACCTGTCCTCAGGTGGACAGGAAGTCCCCCGAGGGAGATAGTATCTCTGTGAATGAGAGCCAGACCACCTCCCCTCCCCTCCCGTCCAGGCGAGGTCGGTGCTGGGCCAGATACCCAGGTGGGCACAGCCGGGTGAGCCGCACGCCACCCGCTTCTCCCAGTCAGGCCTCTGTGATACAGGCATTGGTGCCTCTGGTTTCTTGTTCCCTTTTCTGCCTCTTCTGTAAATCTTGGTGCCCAGAACTGGACACAGGATTCCAGGTGAGGGCTGACTAGTGAGGAGTATAGAGGAACTACTACTTCTCGTGACTTGGAAGTCATACTTCTGGTAATGCATCCCAAAATAGCATTTACTCTTTTGGCAGCTGCATCGCACTGCTGGCTCATGTTTAGCCTGTTGTCCGCAACTACTCCAAGGTCTTTTTCTTTCCAGTGCTGTTGAGCCACGCGCCCCCCAGCTTGTATCGATGCCCCTGGTTTCTTTTTCCTAAGGGGTCACCTGACAGTTCCCGAGCAGGAATTCAAACTGGAGTCTTCCAGCTCCTAAGCCAGCATTTTTCCCCAGCAGAGCATACCAACCTCTTCTAGCATCGCACTGTACTAAATGGCCCTGGAGGAAGCTCACAGTTCTTTCTGGGGTGGGGGGCATTCAAGCTGGGGGTGCTCCTGCATGACCCCAACGCACACACAAGATTCCCAGCACATTTTAGGTTTCTTGTGGAGTCTTTGGCAGACACTGGGCGCCGACGTACCAGAATGAAAAACCCTCTTACTACACCGTAGGTGTGGTCTACAGATGGTGCCCTATAAACCGGGAGTGTGAAACCTCAGATTCCGGGGGCTGAATTCAGTGGTTTGGGGGTTCCAGTTAAGGGCCGTGCCCCTTTCCCTCAAAAACGGGTGGCTTGGAGCTTTTGTGGAACTACCCCGCTCCCACCCCAACGGGCCGAAGGCTTCGTGACTGGCAATCAGTGGCTCTGGTCTTCAAGGCTGTTCGCTGGCCCCGGCACCAGAGGCCAGACCCCCGCAGACACCCCTCGCTGGTGGGCGGGCGGAAGGAGGCTGCCTGCTCGCAGACCGGATGCGCCCTGGACCTGCGGGACTGGGCTGGCTCTGGTGTTCTGGCCTCAGCGAGCACGGGGCACAACCCCTTGAGCTCCTTGCAAAGAAATGTGTCGTCCCCCCTGCCCCCCCCCCCCGGCTGAGACAGGCCCTGCGCACCCGCTTGAACACACGCCCAGCATGGGGCAGCTCTGCTCTCCTCTCATTTTCCTGCTGGGAGGATTCCTTGGAAAGGGAGGCGCGCACACAGAAGGAGCTCACCATGAAATCCAATGCACCAGTGTTTATTAACTCGGGATTAAACGTGACAAGCAGAAACCCGCAGCCACGGGAAAGCTTTTTTCCACACACACAACACTTATTCCTTCAGCTTCTTCAGCAGCTCCTTCACCTGCTCGATCTGGGAGCTCACGCTGCTCTTGGCGGTCCCTCCGGGGGAGGTGTACTGCTCCACACTGTTCTGGTGGTTGAACACCTGGGACACGTCGCTTCCCATCACGGGGCTGCAAGAGAGCAAGGCGGGGTAGGGCCACCAGTCAAAGGCCGCATCTTTCCTCATTCGTTGGTCTTAATTAGTAGGAAAGGCGACGTGCAAGGCCACGCCATAGTCTGCTATGGGTGGAGACACGATAAAGCCAGTGGATAGAAACCACAACCCGCAAAAACTGGCTGGGGAGTCCCAGGAGGTAAAGATGCCTAAAGGAGTTGCCAAAAGCGAGGCAGGGGTGCTGCCATGGGAACGGGGCGAGCACCTGAGGGCTGCCAGAGACCTCCATGACCAGGCAGTCTGGCAAGGGGGACGGGGCTTTCACAGAGGCATTTAGGGCTTTGTACCGTGGTGGCAAAGCCTTAGTTAGACACGGACCCTGAACAGCAGCCGTTCCCTTGGCAAGGGCCAGCCCAGCGATACCTGTGGTTGCAATTTCCAGGCAGCCTCAAGGGCTGCCCCTCGCTGCGGCCCTCCCGGCCAGAAAGCCCCCTCCCAACCTGCTGCGGCCCCAGAAGCCGCCGGCAGACCTGCTGAAGCTGGGAAGGGCCCGTGGATGGTTTTGGGGCCTCCAGCAGCAGCGACGGGTCTGGGAGGAACCCAGATGAGGAGCAGGTGGCCTTTCGATCCCACAGCCGGAAAACTAGAAAATTGGTTTCTGCATTTCAAGAGTGAAGGCCGAGATTCCCGGCACGCTCGGCCCCGTCTCCATGCAGGCGCCAGGGAACCCCCCTGGGACGAATCATGGAAGCGCGATCCGTACCTGATGCTTTTCAGGTCCTCCACGGACAGGTGATTAAGAGCCACCCCCTTGCTCTCAGCGAGGTGGACTGCCTTCCCGATGATGGTGTGGGCCTCTCTGAACGGCACCTGCAATCGAAGCACAGGCCGGGTCAGGAGGCGGCGGGAAGTCCCCTGCCGCTGTGGCGCCACCTGCGTCGGTGCGGGTTTGGCTGGCGCTGCAGCGCCGCATGGACCAGGCAGAGCCAAGGAGCCTGTGGGAAGAGCCGGCTCCCTCCAGCTGTGCAGCCCTCGGGGCGCCCCCTGCAGCTGCGTGCGGCAGCGGGATGGGCGCCCGCGTGGTTTCCCACTGGGTTCCCGCCTTGTTGACTCTGCCCGGGGACTGGGGTGCTTCCAGAGCCCAGCCCTCCCGTACTCACCCCCTTGCGGACCAAGTAGTTGGCCAGGTCCGTGGCCAGCATTTCAGGGCTCAGGGCTTTTTCCATGGCATCCTTGTTGATCTAGAGAATAGGGAGGGATCTGTAAGCAGAGGGCCTGTGGCGGCTTCCCTGCCCAGGGCAGCGGGTGGGCCGGGGGGCGTGCGACTCCACGGCGCAGGCAGGCCTGGCTGGCGTCCAGGCAGCCCTTCCCGTGCCCTCACCTGGAGGGTGGAGATGACGCCCGTTGCCACCTGGAGGACTGCATCCAGGGTATCGATGACGTCAATCACGGCCTCCTTGTCTTCCTGTTGGCGGCATGTGAAGGCAAGGGCAGACGCGTGAGTCGGGCACCACGACGGGGCCTCCCGCCCTGCCAGACACCTGCAGGGGCACTGCTCCAGGACATGGGGAGCTCCTGGGGTGAGAGGGCTCCTTGCTTGGGTGAGGCCAGGGCCAATCTAACCCAGTGACCAGTTTCCAGTGCTGGAAAGCCAGGGGGCTTTGGGAAGCCCACGAGAGCCATCTCCTCCTTTTCCCTCCAGCATCTGGTATTTGAAGATATCCTGCTCCTGAACATGGAGGTTCTCCAACTGTCATAGCTCATGAGCATTGGCAGACCTCCCCTCCCCTCCCATAAGGAAGGCTGGGGGGCCAAATGTAAGATGAATAATCCCCATGCAATATGCTCGTTGTTGGAAGGGGTTCGGGGCGGTTTAGCTCCTGTGTGCCCACATTAGAAGAAACGTGGCCACCTCCTCGTCCAGCGCTGAGTTCCTGCAGTGGCCAGCCAGTTGCCCACCACAACTGTTTCCTCCCACCCATGTTCCCCACAACTTCTGTTTGCATGCAGACTGCCATGGAACTGGGGGCAGCCTATATCCATGAGGACTAGTGGCCATTGCTAGCCTCCTCCTCCATGATAATCCAGGTTAACGCCCCCCAGTTTGGAGGCCCACCCTCCACTCCGTGGAAGGGAATGCCCTTGTTCAATTCTGCGTGGTGAAGAGCATTCCCCCCGTGTGTCTCCCACCGGCTGCTTTGTGGGGTAAACCTTTGGGTTCTTGTGCTATGGGAGGGGAGAGAAATGCCGCCTGTTCTGCACCAGGCATAATCCTGCTTTCCTCTCTCATGCCTCCCCCTCACACGCTTTTGCCCAGTTAAACACTTGGGGGTCGTCCAGGCCCCTCCCCGCTTTTTCCACCCTACAGGATGCGCTTTGGCCAGCTTTTCCCGGTCAGGTGCTGCGCAGCCAGCCCAGCTGGGCGGAAGCGCAACCTGGGCGAGACGGCCAACACGCCCCCCGCCCCCCCCCCGGAGCACTACCTGCAGGTCCTTGTTGTATGCGCTGGGGAGGCCTTTGAGAATCACCAGAAGCCCAGTGGTCTGGAAAGAGGGAAGGAGGGAGGGTGGAACGGAGAAAGTATTCAAGAGCAGTGGAAAGCTTCCAATCTCTCAGGAGGCTGGCCCTCTCCTCAAACTGCATTCAGCAAACTCTTCCTGCCTCCCTTCAAGCCACTAGTCCTCAAGCCTCCGTGCCTCCCAGCTCACCTTTCACCCCCCATGGCTCCCCCCTTCCCCACCAGCGAATGGCATCCACCCTCTGGGGCGACACTCCGTGGCCATGCGTGGGGAGCCTTTCTGCCCGGCCCTGCTACGGGTGTCACAGCGAAGTGGCTTCCAGGTCGTGCTGAAGCAGCTGAGCTGGCTTGAGTCAGACAACGCGATCACCCATGCTCAGAGGGTGAATGTGGGTTGGACTGCGGGTTGTTCGGCCGCCTGGACCCCGCCGAGGTCGCGAGCCACGGCAGACCTCCCTCAGCCCAGCCGGAAGCTGCGGGTTCTCTTCGTGGGCTCCTTTCAGCCCGCCCGTCGGGCTTGTAGCTCGGGCAATACGCTGGCCCTCGGCTCGAGCACCTCCCACGCATGGGCCACCCACTCCAAGCCCACCGGTGGCCCAAGCCGAGGCGGCCCCCACGGCTTCGTGCAGCCCTGCCTGGCCACTCACCCTCCCGATCACACGGCCGGCCTTGCTGCGGATCAGTTCGAGGCTGTCCGGGTTCTTCTTCTGGGGCATGAGGCTGCTGCCGGTGCTTTAAAACACACAAGAAACGCTGCAGCACTTGACACAGACGCCGCAATTCAGGCGCTGCCTCACACCGGAGGGGACGGGGCGCAGAGCCGACCCCCTGGCTGCGGGCCGGGATGGGTGAGAGGGGGGGCCTCTCCCAGCTGAAGGGGGCCTTTCGAGGCAGTCCTCTGCCCTTTCTGGGCACAGGAGTGCGCTCGGCCAAGGGTCGGCCTCCGGGAAGCCCTCTGGAAGCCACCACCCCGGCAGATGCTGCACTACGGAGGAACCCCGGAGGGAGAAACGGAGCCGGATTACCAGAACGCATCCGAGAGAGTGATGAACCCAAACTCCTTGGTGGCAAAGAGGATCAGATCTTCGGCTAGCCTGCTCAGGTGGATCATAATGAGGGACGAGGTGGACAGGAACTCCACTGGAGGAGATGGGGGAGAGACGCACGGGGGGAGGTCTCCTTCGTGTGCTCAGGTCACAAAGGGAGGGCACAGAAAGAGCCCGGCATCTCCCAGAATTCCCCAACCAGACGGGCTGCTACAATCCCCCGTAGCGCTTTTGAACACATGGGGGGAAGTGACCACTCCATTTCACACATGCTCATGTGCGCGCACACACAGAATTCCTAAAGGTGCATTGTTATACATGTTTTGACTGAATTAGCTCCCCGATTCCCAGCGTGGCTGGCTGAGGAATGCTGGGAGTGATAAACTTTTCCCCATCCAAACATGCATAGGATTGTAGGACTACACTTCGTCCAAACATGCATCGGATGGTTGTTCCTTCCCTGGAAAGATGCTCATTTGGACAGCAGAGCTTTCAAGTTCTAGCGTTCTCCCTCGGGTGGATAAACAAGCCTTCCCACCCCAGAGGCCCCTGGACGGCTTCAAGCAAGCTCAAAAACATGACACCTACCCACAAAGTCACGGTCGCTGACCGCATCGATGCTGTTGATGCTGATGGAAGCAAAATCTAGTTCTGTAATGAAAAACACACACAGATGCACATATATAAAGGGAGAGGTGTTATGACATCCAAACACTTCCACTGTGGGCCAGAAGCAGAACGCAACAGGCTGAAGGTGTGAATTGGGACCCTTGGAGGTGTGCTGGCCACTTGCGGCTCATCCCCCTCATCTGAGAATCCTTTTGGCCGCCCATCTCCGAGAGCCTGCACTAACTCTATAGATCAAAGGTGCCTCTGAGCCTGTGCAGAGTACCTCCACTGCTGAGCAGCTGCAGCCTGTCCTCATGCGGGGGTGGAGCCTCCTGCTAGGGAGACGCCGGGGCACAAGCCCCGGCAGCTACTTAGCCAGTCGCTAGAGCATGGTTCTCGCCTCCGCGGGAGCGAAGAGCAGGAAAGCCCCTCTGAAAACGGGCCTAGAAAAGCTGACGCTGGACAGGAGGGCCTGCGCCGTCGCGGCTGCACCTCGCCAGAGGGCACGGGCGGCGGGCTGTGCGCGGCCCTTGGGGAAAGCTTTCCCGCACATCTGGGTGCTCTGGGCCAGGGCTTTCCACACGGATGGTGCCAGCAGGAAAAAGGACAGCGGTTCCAGGAACTGTGGCGATCCCAAGAATGCCCTCTCTTCTGTGTGGGGGCCTGCCCATCGCTAGGGGCCTTGCTCCATTTCAGTTCGGAAGCAGAGAGCCGGAACTCACCCTTGCGGAGCAGCTCGCGATCCAGTCCGAGGGGGTTGCCAGCCAGAGCCCCACTGCAAGAGAGGGACAGGTTGGAAGAATTCCGCACCCCGCAGAATTGCAGCTGGACTGGGGCTTGCCGAGAAGGGACGAGGCTCCACGCGCTCAGGCCGGTGTGGCGTGCCGGAGCATCCCTACGCGTTCTCGGGGCCCTCGCCCGGCAGGCGACGCCAACGTTGCTGGTGCCCCATTGAGGCCCCACCTCGCCAGGCAGCAGCCCCCTGCCTCCATCGCCTTCCTCTGGTCTCCCCTCCGATGGGCTAGATTGCAAGCTGCCTGAGGCAGAGCCCTCTCCTTGCAACTTGTGAAAAAAGGGGGTCTTGCAAGCGCACCTCATCCATCCTGCTTACAGCCCAGTTATCTCAAAGCTGCCAAGCTGCTCGGAAGAAGCGCTCAGCAGCGGGGAGCTGGCAGGAGGCAGGTCTTAAAAATGGGGACAGACGCCTCTGCCTGGTTGGAGCGCCATGCGGGGAGGAGCAGGCAGGGGGCAAAGGGCAGCGTCTGGTCAGTCATCCCTGCTCTGCCTTCAAATCCATGCTGTAAAGCCTTTGCAAGTGCACCAAAGCTGCACTCGATTTTGCAAATTTGCTTAAGGTTTTTTTTTTGTTTTAATTTTCACAGAAGGGTTAGTTTGGCCTCAGCTGGTCCAGCAACAAATTTCTGGAAGAAGACGCCGCTTTTACCTTCCCAAAGGCAAGACATTGATCCTTTTCTTCACCTCACTGAGGCGCTCAGAATCCCTGGTCAGAGCAACGGCATGGCTGATGGAAGTCGAGAGAGAGAGAGAGGTGGGGGGGGAGAGAGAGACCGGCCATGAGGATAACCCCAAAGGTCTACAAAGAGAAAAGTTACCAAAAAACAGCCACTGTTGGACCTGGGGAGCCTCCTTCCACCCAGAAAACTGATTTGGATGACTTAGGCACTCTGTATATGTTCAGAGATCATCTTTTCCATGTTCAAGATTGTGGCAGTTTTAGCCTTATGTCAGAGATGAGAGGAGAATGCTGGCAGGGCAAATGACACGAGATGGCCGGCACATGGCCGCATACCTGAGCAAGAGGTGGCTCCATCTGATTGGCTGAGCCCTTTGCAGGTGGGTATAACCAGGAAGGATCACCTCAATCTCGCTGCAACAGATCAGAAGCCCAGGGTTAGAAATTCAGCCTTCTTCCAACCTGGCACCTGAGGCTGTCGGAATGGGAATGGGAAAGGGGAGTGCTGGAATCGTGCAGGTGGTCTGGAGGGGCCCACGGGAGAAAGGATCCTGTCACGCTGGAAGACCCACACTTACGCAGTAGCACGTTCCACGAGGGTCCGGATGAGCTGCTGCAGGTGAGAGGACAGGGTGGTCACAGCGCTCTTCATCAGCAGCCTCAGGTCAGTCACAACCTGGGGGAAAGACGCCCCCCGTTAACCCCGGGGCCTTCGGACTGGGGAAATGAGCGAAGCCTCGGCCCCTCACGCTGGCACCCCAGGGCCGGCCTGTTGCTCCGTCCTCCACAAAGGGAGGCCGTGGCCCTTGGCGGGTTTGCTCCACTGCCGAAATTCAAAGCGCACCATCTACCAGCCGGACTGCAGCCCCGGGCCTCACAATCCTGCCCTACAAATCAGCCTGGAAAGACGGCCCTGTATGGGTTGCCGTCCTTTGCAACCAAAGCACGGAACAGAACGAAAGCCGCCCTGGTCGTCAGAGGGCCTGAAGGCCTCGCGGCTGAACTGGTGTCCTGCAGATGGAGAAGGGGAGGCATTTATGTAAACGTCTTTTGGGAGCTGGGAAAGGACACGCTCCACGGAGGCCTGGAAGTGCAGGACAGGCATCTTACAGCCCAAGAGCTGCTCTTCGCCCCAGTAAGCAGAGTTGCTGCTGGGGGATGATGGGAACCGCAGTCTGATGGCCTCTGGAAGATCACAGCCTGCCCACTCCTACAGTGGCTTTCCCCAACCTGGTGCCCTCCAGGAAAGCCTGGGAGGGGCAGTTCAGCACATCTGGAGGGCACCAAGTTGGTGGAATGCCGTAAAATTTCTCCCGACGCGGCTGAAAACGGGCTCCTATCTCAGTCCAGCTGCTACGTTGAGCATACGTGGTCTGGCCTACTGCACAGGGGCGGCGTGAGAACCAAACTCCCCTCAACTCTCACAAGTGCCTTGGAAGAGCAGCAGGATGCCAAAACGGGGAAAATGTGGGAGTCCTGTGACATCCAGCCATTCCCAGCTGAGGGCAACTGGAAAGCACGTCCGAGGCTTGACTCCCGCTGGCGGGAGCTGCAGCGGGCAAGGAAAGGCTGGAGGCGCCGCCATGCCCTGAGGGGGCTGCAGGCCACGTCTCGGCTGGCCAGGGCCTCCCGGGCTCCCGTTGCACAGAGCCTGCCCAAGCACAGAGAGCGCCAGCTCGTTTTTTCTTCTGAGTGTGCCCTCTCCCTCTCTCACACACACACACAAACACACCCACCCCAGAGTTACCTGTACGAGAGCCAAATATTTTAATCACAAACCTACCTCTTGCCATATAGCGGCAAGAGCCCTGCGGTTACGGCAGTGCCGGGCTGAGCGTGGGTTGCCACTGAAGGCTGGGCTACTCCATGTCTGGACGCAACTTGTGTGAACAAGCCTGGCTTTTGAACCGTGAACAACCCAAGAAGAGCACCCATGGCTTGTGAACCGCGGCGTTTGTGGTTAACCAATCATGGCTGGTTAGCATGGTTGGGTTCAGACAGCACGACAACCTCCACTACAACGTAACAACAACCACAGTGACAACCCACGCTCCACCACATGTGGCTCCTTGTGTTACATGGATCATGTATACATGACATACATTTAAAAGAAACTCAGCTTTGAAATTGGGGTGCTTCTGCCTCTTACCACTGGACACGCTTATCTCCCAGACCTTCCAGCCGAGTCTTTTTCCTTTCCTTTCTCTAACCACCCTGGATTCAAATTTGACAGGGCTGTAATTTTTCTACTGCCTCCCTTCCCTTCCTCTTGTCCCCTCCACGCCAGATTCTAAATTGTAAGCTCCTAAGGGCAGGGGCCTGCCTGGATGCTTTTTATGAAATGCAATTAAATAAGAAGAAGAATGGTCCGAGTGGCCCCTGGTTGGCCATTTAACACCGCAACACTCTCCCACAGCTCCAGACAGCAGGCAGCGCTGGGTTGCGGCATCTCACACAGGAACCGTTTGTCAAAGGAGCTCTCTCGGGGAAGGTTCCCTGAAAGCTGCAATGCATTGTCCACCTTCCTGGAAAGCGTCGCCACTAAGTCCAGCAGGGCTTACTTCTTGAGTAAACACAAACAGGACTGCCCAGGGAGGCTCCTCGGAGCCCGGCTCAAGAGCCACAGCCTCAGTACTCGGGTCCAAAGAAGCAATCCTAATTGCCCACACATCAGTGAAGGGTTTTGCCACTGTGGGTTCAAGCATTTGCTTCCTAAAAGCCGGAGTTGTCTGACTCTGGGAGTGGGCATATGGCGGGGAGGGGGGAGAACACAAGATACAGTGTGGCATGGATCAAGTACCCCTTCGTGGTGGAAAGCAGCCATCCAGTGTGAGAACAAGCAGGACTTGAACCCAAGACCTTCAGAGATGCAGACAAGCTCCTTAACCATCAAGCCACTGTGCCTTTCAGCCACAGCTGGGAGCTGGAGGAGGGAAAGGGGGCTATAGGAACAAACGAGCAACGCCATCTTTCAAAAAAGCAAAGGACTCCATTTTTAAGTCGAGCAAACTGCCTCCGAAGACCCTGGCCCCACGGAAAGCAGCACCTGGAGCGGCGCCGATGAACAGAACACACGCTATTCCATTCCGCGCATCGGCCGTCTTTGCTGCAGCAAGGATGGGATGCAGCTCTGGGGGAAAGCGCAAAACCAGGGAAGGAAGGGAGCCCTTCCAGAGAAGCACCAGATCAGAAGGGCCAGAGAAGGGGTGTGGGCAGCAGAGACCTAAGGTCACAAATGAAGGTTTACTGGTTGCTTCTGCTTTCCTAGGCGGCCCTGAAGAACTCCTACGCTTTTCTACCCATCTGGGGAGGCAGGCACACTGGTCTTGAAAGGGTTAGGAACGCTCATTATTTTCAGTGAGTACGGATGCTCAGCATGGCGACTGCATTCGCCCAAGACAAATAAATGGGGAAAAAGCAAGTACAGCTAAAAATATTGTTTAAACCATCCTCGGTTTTCCTACTTGGTCATTCCTGCTTCTCCCAGTGTGGAGCTTCCCAGCCACATCACCAATCAGTTCCTGAATGAAAAGAAAGAAAAGGGGGATTCGGTTATTTCAACTCTCTGAAGACAGCTAATCCCGCAAACAGTGATGTGGCAACTGCTTAGATTTCCAGATATATTCCACTGAAACGAAATCTTTCAGGTTAAGTATTTCATTTGAGAGAGAACTCTTATTGTGAGGATTAGTTCCATCCTTCTGGGCACCCCCAGAAGCAGCGCAATACAAATTTAGAAGTCTCCTCTTCCCCTGGGGCCCATTAGCCCACCCTGATGCTCTCAGCAGACACGTTGCTCTGCCCTTCAGGGCCAAAGCAAAAGTGCTAGTCCTCTCACAAGAAGTCACTCTGCTTTTCCTCGAGCAGTCAGGAAATTTATGGACATTCCCTGATGCAGCAACCCTGAAATTGATGAAACCTTGGGAAACTCCTTGAGCAGGCTTTCGGACGTTTTGGACTACAGTTCCCATTTCTGAGTACTGGCCATGCTGGCTGGGACTGAAGGGAGCTGAAGAGCAAAACATCTGGCCAGATGTCAAACAGGGTAAGGAGAGGGGGACATTCCAACTGAACTGGCAAAGCAAACCCACCTTGAGTCTGCGTTCAACGGTCGTGTGGATGTCTTCATCCGTTTTGGTAATCACCAAGGTTCCCTTGGAAGATTCCTCCGAAATCTACAACAGCAGCCAAAAAACACTGGTTAGCCATTAACAAGACTGCCTGCAGGCGGGGAAAAAGCCACTCAAGGGACTGAGAGAAACATTCACATGTTTAACAGTTCGGCCCCAGAATTTCTGAGCATTGCTTTGGGGTCTTGCAGGGAGGGGCCTCAGAACAATGGCCCCTTGCCCACCAGCATCAGCAGATGGGGGGGCAGGGGGCACCACCCACAGCAGAGAAATGAGATGAGCAACGTGAAAGCTGAATCGGAAGCAGACATTTCCGTCCTGGATGCCGCCCTTGCCCTCCATCATCCTGGAAGGAACCATTCCCAAACAACAGAAAATGCAGATCGGTCCATAACATTTCGGTTACAGATTAAAATTCTGCCCTCCATAAGTCCATAAGCAGCCCAATCTAATTTTAGCCTCCGGAGGGGCCCGCATACCCGAACATTACCTTACCTTTTCTAATCCCCCAATGATCTTCTCCAATTCCGTTTTGGACAGAATCCCGGCCTTCTCCAAGGCCTTGGCATAAGCGATGCTCCCGCGAATGTCCACCTCAGCCAGGCGCATGTCAACCTCTATCGAAGCGTTGAGCTTCTCCATGATGGGGTCGATGCTTCCGACAAGCCTTCCTCCGTAAAGTTTGTCACCCTGGGGGGGAGGCAGGTGCAAGAAAGAGCCCAGGTGAGTTTGGAAGGATAGGAACGTGCTCGTTGCGGAGCTCAACTATGTTTCTTTCGCTAAACTAAAGGAAGGTTGTGGTCCTCGTGGCTGTGCATCCAGGACTACCTGAAATAGGAGCATCGGAAGTCACCCTATACTGGGCATCAGTGGGACATGCTCCCTTGGACCATTTAGGCCAATATTGTCGGCACTGACTGGCAGCTGTGGCTCTCCAGGGTTTCAGGAAGCTCTTCTCCAGGGCTCACCTCACCAGGGATCGAACCGGGCATGCAAAGCAGGGATGCTACCGCACAGCTTGTGCACCTTCCCCTGCAGAAACCATTCTAGTCCTCATGGTTGTGCATGAAGGGCTAACAGGAACGTGGGCTACTGTCCCTCACGCCCAGGACTGCTGGTGCAGCCCAGCGGCAGAGGCTCTCCTGGGCTTGGGGTGGGTGTTCTTCCAGCTCAGCGGGAGAGATTGGCCTGGGGACCTTCAACTGGCTGACCCACAGCCCCTGTTGTCCTTCTCCGGGTGACTCACCCCACGAAAGTTGTTGAGCGGGGGCTGCCCTCTCCCCCGATCACAAAGGATTTCAAACGCACTTTTGCCAGGGCAGGCCTGGTGCGCTGCAACGCCCCTGTTTCTCCAAACAAACCCGGACGCGGCATGTGACACTCCAGCTCTTCGGAGCCAAAGGTCACTGGCCAGGATGCATCCGCTCAGGGCCAAGCACGCAATCAGCAGTTTGGGGGCTTTTTTCCCCTGAGAATTGCCAAGAACGAATGTCTTGTCTGAGTTGTGCTGCTTGGAAACAGCTTTTTTTGCTGTTGGACAGGACAGGAAAGGGAGCAGAGGCCGCTGGAGAGACTGGCAAGCCCAGCAAAGAGACGGTTTCTTTCCAAATTACACAGGTGGGTAGTGCTGGCACCAGAGTGTTGCTGCCATTTCTGCCCTAAATTGATTAATTTTACCTATTCAGGGGGCACCAGGATTAATTGAAGGCCGGGAGCAGCTTCCCCTGACTGGGCCCCCGCAGAGGAGTTGAACTAAAACTGTCGCCGTCCCTGGGCCGGCGGGGATGGAGCCTTCTGTCGACCCCACCCGTCGGTTGGTGCCGGGTTGGGGAAGTCTGGACTAGCCCATCCTTGGCTTTTTGATCAGAAATGTCCCGCCAGCTGCCCCCCCCCCCCCAGATTCCTTTAAGCAGGTAGGCAAGGGCTTGGACTGGGACCCACGCAGGAAAAGAAAGGCTGCATCCCGCCCCCACCACGCCCCTCACTGCAAGCCTTCTTCTTTCTTGTTTCACACTGGGTGCGACAGCTGCCTGTCGAAAAAGCAGCCGGGATTCTGTCTTCCCTGCATTTCCCACCACTGTATCCTGATTTCCCCAAGATTTTTCCTGATTTAATCCCTTGGACCCCGCTGCCTAAGAGCCCGCTCCTTTCTTAAAAGCTGCTGCCATCCCATATGCCCGAAGAGCGAGATTTCTTGGTGGCAGGTTGTTCCTCTCTCTCACACACTTCTTTCCACCATGTCTGAAGGCGTGATGTGCATCAAGCGCATCGCCGTGTAGCTGATCCAGCCCCACTGGTGTCCCACAAAATAACACCCATTTCAGATAACTAAGTAACCGGTCACTCCTCAAAGGCCACCCATCTTCTCCACAGCGCTGTAAGCCAGGCCCAAGAAGGCCTTGCCATTGAGCCCAGTTCTCTGCAGCCAGATTAAAGCATTTGGGAGTTCACCTACAAGGCTGTTGCAATAGCTCTGTCCTGTTCGCTCAAGATAGACTGCTGTGAAGCATAGAGGCTCCATTTGGCAGGTCTGGCTAGTCAATCTCTACTGGGAAAGGTATCTGCACATCTCTCTACTCTGCAGCATGGGACGCCCCTTGCCGGGTGTCGTGTCCCAACCAACTTCCAAACCCTGAAATCTCCCTGCTCCCAGCCTGCCCACCCGACTGCAGCCCCAGCACTGCCCGAAACAGCGCCGCACCAATTTCGTGCAGCGCACGCTCCGTGCAAAGGATCGCTGGCCAACTCCGGGCCGGAGCAGAGGGCAGGCCTCGCAGGGGAGGGAAAGGCGTTGCCAAGCGCCTGGCTCACCTCCGATGCCATGTCCAGCAACCGCTTGTTTCCGGTTTTTTCTCCTCTGATCTGGAAAGTTTTGCAAAAGATGCAAACCCTGCAAAACAAACGGAAAGCGCTTTTTGGCTCTGCAAACCAGTCGACTGGGCCAAGCGGAGGAGTCTTTCTCCAACCGGGTGCCCTTCGGAAATGTGGGGGCTCCCAGTCCCACTCCCCAGAACCGGCTGGGGACAATAGTTGCCATCCTACACAGCAGGAGGGCATCGAATTGGGGGGACGCTGGAGAAGACCGACGGACGGCCGGGCGGCCTCTCTCTCGCGACCCCTCCCTCCGGTGGGCCCCCCACCCACAGCCAGCCAGCAGCGCCAGCGGGCGCTGTGGGACCGACCCTCGGGGCGGCTGGGACTCCTGCCCTCCCGGACCGCCTCACCTGCTGCGCCTCCCGAGCCCCGGTCGGCCGATCTGCGCTGCCCCAGCCGTCCGGGGCTCCCTTTTCAAGCGCCGGCCGGCGCGAGCCCCCGCCCGGTGGGCTGGCGGGGCGGGGCGGGGCGGGGCTCCGGGGG